GGTAATATGTCAAGCTGCCAGAGTCTCTCAACATGCTGCAACAGCTCTGATGAGGTGGAAGTCACAGATGTGAAAAAGCATTGTTGCTCGGGGATTTGGTGCTGGAGTACATGAGCTGGCCCTTGCAGCGTCCAGCCTAATCTGGTTTGTATAGCAGCTGGCCCGCCTGGTGGGCCGAAGCACACTGGCTCCATGGGGATGATCAAATGGTGATGATCAGAGCCTATAAGCAACAATGGTTGAACCTGAGAAAAGGCATGAAGAGGCAGTCCTTTGAGATGCTGGTATTTTTCTTGTAGAATGGAAACTGGATGTGAATGCTTGGCCAAGCCCAAGTTCTCGGCTGTAAAGGCACCCGTTATCTTGAACCTTCTGCTTGGCTGAAATGCTGGGGACAGAGTGAAAGATACTTTTGTACCTTGTATGACTTGGGTGTCATGTCGAACTGTTCTCAAAGAGAGGGTTTCAGTCTGTCCGTTAAGTTTAAGCTGCTGTGCTGCACCATGAAGCAGGATTGTACGTTCAGAGCCATCGTCCAAAATAGCATAAGCCATCATCAAATTTTTTCCATTATGCAACAGCACTTTACAGATTTTCAGAAGGACCTGGCTGCCACCTGCTGGACGATCCAGGTATAGCATCTGACTCTCTTGGGGTCTTTCGTGATAGTGCTTCATCTCTGTTGATTTGCTGTTGATGTCATGCAAGACAGTTAGATGTTTGCCATTGCAAGTTTTACATGTGGCTTTTAGTTTGCATTGGGCTGCCTGATGTTTCCGTCCGCACCGCCAACATCTCTTATTTGACTTAATCCAGTTGGTTTTGAGCTCACTGGTAAGCTGCGTGAAGTTATTACACTGGTTAAGATAGTGGTGGTTATTGTCACAGTAATGACAGTGCACATTATTGCCGGGGTTTTGGAATTCTGATGGTTTCGCAGCTGGAGGGTTTGTGGACTGATCCACATGCAAAATGGCTGCTGTCTGAAAAGTGTGCTTACGCTGTCGCGGAGCTTCTTTCTGCTGTCTAACATTTCCCTTCATTTCACTAGTATTGAGTTTACAGTCAGTGGGCTGCACCTGCAGCTCGAACTCAAGCCAGTGTGAAAAGTCAAGCAGGTTTGGAATTGGGTTTCTGAGGGGGTGAACATACCTCTTGAAGTTAGCCTTGAGATCATGAGGGAGTTTAGACATGAGTCTTGCCACATGTGAGCCACACTGCAATTCAACAGCTCCCTTCTCATCCAGCTGGTCAAGCATACCCACCAATGCTCGAACTCTGAGGGCAAACTTACGAAAGGCCTGAGTGTCTCCACTGCGAATATTTGGCCCGTCCATCAAGTCAGCAATTTTCTGCAATGCCAACTGATGCGGCTGTCCATAATGTTCAGTCAGCGATTGCATTGTATGGGTGTATGGATAACGAGAGTTGCTGTAAGAATCAGCGATTAAAAGGGCCTCTTCGAATTTCAGATGCTCAATCAGAATTTGATATTTAAACTGTTCAGTAGCATCGTATGGCAGCAAATTGTCAAGAGATATTTTGAGCCTAGCGAACTGCCGTGGATCCTCCACTGTGAAATCTGGTATTGAAGGGTTTGGACCTCGGAAAATGCTCTCTCTTGTGGGAGGATGAGGGGGCCGAACAAAGTCTCTTGGATGATAATGATGCCTTGGGTGGTAATCATTTTGTTCTCTAAATCTGAAGTCAGCTGCAGGGGAAGGATGACGTATTTGTGGCTGTGGTGGGATGTGTCTTTGGTCATGTACATAGCCTGGGCTATATGCAGCGTGTACACTTATTTTGTGCTGAGGTTGCGATGTACATGGCGAATTTGGTTGATATTGCACATGCCTGTTCTTTGGTGTGGACTGCAATCTCATCTCTGCAAGTTCACCTGACAAATTAATTTCACCGTCTAGCTCCTCATCTGCAGAAACTTCCTCTCCATCCTCCATAACTGATTTTCCAATCTCTTTAGAAATCCGAGTACTCATTTGAGCTACTGGTGACTTGCTCCGACGTGGAGTGGGAACAGGGGGATGTTTCTTAGCTGCCTTTGTTAATGAGTGAGTGCGAGGCAAAGGCTCAGGACACTGTGATGCGTTGGTTTCATCCCTTTCAGAGCGGTGTGTCATGTCCTCAATGGTTTTATGCAGACGTCTGTTCTCTTCTCGTAGCTGCCAAATCACTGTTTGAGCATCTCTGTCTCCATACTGTTCTCCAGTATCCTCAGTAACATCACTTTGGTTAGTTACATGCCACCTAGTGAAGGGTGTCATCCCGGCAGCACCCTCATTTCCCGACTCCCAGCGGTAAGGCTCTGTCTGCATCCTCAAAGTAGGAGGGTATGTATGCTGGAAGCCACTGTAGTCCACCTCATAATCTTCCAAGTGGCGTGGAGGGCGTGATAGACGTTTACTGCGGACATCAGGCTCACACTGTGACTCTGAATGGGCTTTGGACATCTTATCCCGTGGCAATCACCGCAATCCGGCTCGAAGGACCAATATTAAATAGTTTTCTGGACTGTATTGACTGGGTCTGACTTAATTGGGATCATCACGGGGCATCGGTAAGAATGCACAAAAGTCCAATCACTGTTTTGGTTTTAATGGTAGGTTCAAGCCATCAACATACTCAATGCAGTGCATGAACAGATGTATGTGATATTTGGTCTGTAAGTGTGGTTTTTTCAAAGTTACGCACACTCATACACGCGAACCCTCCACAGCTTTCAAGCGGAACATAACCAGTTGCGTCAAACTCTGGGGGCGGGACTAAGTTACGACTGTCAATAATTCACAACCCACCAATAAGAATTAACTTCACTGAGCCTTTTCAACAATTCATATATTAAATATATGTTGCTGCATACAGTATATGTAGCCTATGTGTAATACACACAAACTTTCTTTTTTTTATGTATTTTTTATTATTCAGTCAGAATTAAACTGTTAATACATTTGCAACTTTATATTCAAAGAATCCTAAAAAAAAAAATTGTAGCCTATCACAATTTCCACAAAAACATTGTGCAGCACAACTGTTTTCACCAAATCAGCATATTAGAATGATTTCTGAAGGATCATGTGATACTGAAGACTGAAGTAATGATGCTGAAGATCCAACTTTGCCATCACGTCACAATAAATGATATTTAGCATTTTTAAATTAATTATTATTTGAAATCGGAATAACATATATCTTTTTTTACCTTAGGCTAATTTTATTTTTCAAATTTCTTTCAAAAACACAAAAAACTTTCAAACTGTCGAACAATGTCTTGTATATGTATATCGATTTACACTGAATTCCACAACATGCCACTGGGATTTAATATGTGACGATATAAAATAGTTAAATGCGTGCAATCATTCCTCCAGCCTTCCACAATGTTTGTTTTAAGACTTATCTCACTGTGTATATATATATATATATATATATATAGGATACTTTTTGGACTGCCGTATCTCTGCTCAATAACTCTCATTACGATATCTTAGGTTGCAGACGGAGGGTGATTTGCCGACTTGCAAGGGTTTGCATCATGGCAGTGTCTCAGTCAGACATCTGTGAAGCCCCTCCTAAGCGCAGAGCATAACAGACGCTCATTTGAAAGTCTAATTTGCTAATATGTCGGTTAAACATGAGTTTATTTATTTAGTAAGGAAAATGTAATGAAAACCACTAAATCAGACTTATTCTGCTGTTTGAGTAAAAGCCTGTGTGTTCTTCTGTGTAAATGAGAATATTGCGCGACCAACTGTGTTTGTAATTTCCTGCTCTTCTTTGTGTTTGTGCATGGTTTTGAGTGTTAGCTCGTGCTGAGTGAGTGTTCTGCTATGACAGTGGTGGTGAGTGGTGACACACACTGTCCTGTTGCAGGGGAGCATGCCTGATGAAAACAGTGGACTGGCAAACGCGTGACTAGCTCTACCCTTCTCCCTGCACTGTTGCGTCATCTACCTCCAGGACATCTCACAGCAAACGGATTCTCTCGGACTGAAACGTCTCCATGTGATTGTTCCACCCAGCTCTAACAGGGCCATAGATCACTCTCATATTCATTACTTCTTAAATGTTCATGGATGCTGAGGATATCCAGATCTACAGCACACACACACAAAAAAAAAAAAACCACACAATTGGGAAAACGTTCTAATTTAAACATTCTAATCTAATTCTAAAAAAAAAAAAAATTAAAGCAAATGCATCATGGGATTTCAGACAGGCTTTCTATACTTTATTTGCCCGATTTCTTGTTGGTTGATTGCCAGACCTTCTTTTCATTTCAAAGGATTCCGATTTAAATGCTACTAACGTCCAAGGCCACAGAATCTCACCAGTGGAAGTGAAGATATTGGATTAAAGTCTTTTGACATCCTTTTTTCAGTTTGCTTTGAGACAAAACTAGTAGTGAATTTAGTGTTCGTGAAGTTGTGGCCATGTCTTGCTCAATCATCTTCAATAACTTTGTCAAGACCAATATAGTTTGTGGAGCATCACTCTATAGTGACCAATGGGTGAATAAAGACACAGTCTTCCTTATTTTCTCTTGTGTTTCGGCAGATTGTGGTTGTCACTATTCAGATGAAGACGAGGGCAGACTGGTTTGTGACCAACTCTGTCAGACCCCATTATGTCAAACACACTTACGGTCTCTGTTTGTCCTCCCAAATATACCAATGACATCATCTGTATGCAGAGTACGGAAAATGAGTCAGTGATGCAGCGCACTTTCAGAGAATCATAAGATTTACGCATGGACGCAGACTAGAGCAGGAGTTTCTTGTTTTGGTAGAAATTTTTTTCTTTGTTCCCCAATCTTTCTCTTTATCCATTCTCTTATTGTCTTTATTTCCCCCCACACCCTTGACAACTTGCTTCTGATGACTCGGTTCTTTTACAAATTGTTTGTTTGGTTTAAGCCGGGGTGTGTCAGTCTTTGAAAGGAGAACAGAAGCACTTGTGAGCGTATAGGAAAATTCTGCAGCTTCTCTAGTCTCTACAGCATTTTTGAAGGATGAACAATGTACAAGTTTTTCTACAAGGACGCAGGTATTTTTAAATCTGTCAGTCTACAGTGGGTATAGAAAAGAATCACCCCCCTTTAAAATAATCACATTTTGTTGCTTTGCAGCCTGAAATGAAAACGGACAAAAATCATTTTTGTTTTATTCAGCTGTATTTACAACTTATAACATCCAAGTGAAAGATATAATACCAACTTGTCAGAATTTTTTTTTTACAAATTAAAAAACAGAATCACTGAGTTGGAAAAAGAATCACCCCCCTCCTAAAAATGACTTGTAAACCCAACCAGGTGTAGTTAATCACCTTCTCAATAGCACACAAAGCCAATTGACTTTCAAATGTGATCAGCTGTGGTCATTTTGATTAGCTCAGCATGAAACAAGCTTTTCCTGAAGCATTTCAGTCCTTGGTAGTGCAACTGAAGAAAACAATCAACTATGGGTGGCAAGGCATTGACAAAAGATCTCCGGGATAAAGTTGTGGACAGGCACAAGTCAGGAGATGGATACAAAAAAAATTCAAAGGCGTTATCAGTGCCTAGAAGCACAGTGAAGTCTATTATTAAGAAGTGGAAGGTATTTGGTACAACACAGACCCTCCCTGGGTCAGGACGTCGCTCCAAACTGGATGAAAGAGCCAGGAGGAAACTGGTCAGAGAGGCTACCAAGAGGCCTACAGCAACTCTGAAGGAGTTGCAGGAATTCATGACAAAGAGTGGTCATTGTGTGCATGTGACAACAATATCACAAATTCTCCACAAATGTGGCTTGTATGGGAGGGTTGCAAGAAAAAAGCCACTCCTCAAGAAAGGCCACATGCAGTCACGACTGAGCTTTGCCAAAACACACCTTGAAGATTCTAAGGCCACGTGGAAAAAGGTGTTATGGTCAGATGAGACTAAAATTGAATTATTTGGCCTCAACGCCAAACGATATGTCTGGCGAAAATCCAATACAGCTCACCATCCAAATAACACCATTCCTACAGTAAAGCATGGAGGTGGTAATATCATGTTATGGGGTTGTTTCTCTGCAGCAGGGACTGGAGCACAAGTCAGGATAGAAGGAAAAATGGATGGGGCAAAATACCGTCAAATTCTTGAGGAAAATCTGCTGCTCTCTGCCAGAAAGTTGTCAATGGGAAGAAGATTTACCTTCCAACATGACAATGACCCAAAGCACACAGCAAAACTGACCACACAGTGGTTAAAGGAGAAAAAGGTGAATGTCCTTGCATGGCCTAGTCAGAGCCCAGACTTAAACCCCATTGAAAATCTGTGGAATGACTTGAAGACAGCAGTCCACAAACGGTCACCATCAAATTTAACTGAACTTGAGCAGTTCTGCAAAGAAGAGTGGTCAAATATTGCAACGTCTAGATGTGCAAAGTTAGTAGAGACATATCCCAACAGACTAAAGGCTGTAATTAAAGCAAAAGGTGGTTCAACAAAATACTGAAACAAGGGGGTGATCCTTTTTCCAACTCAGTTATTATGTTTTTTGATTTTTTGAAATTTTTCTGATATGTTGGTGTTATATCTTTCACTTGGATGTTATAAGTTGCACTGAGTAAATACAGGTGAATGAAACAAAAACTGTGTCTGTCTTAATTTTAGGCTGCAAAGCAACAAAATTGGATTATTTTAAAGGGGGGTGATTCTTTTCTATACCCACTGTATATAGATGAACCATTATCACCTCCACAACGAAACTGCCTGTTGCAGATGATCAGGTGTTCTTGTTTAGAAAGATTATTTATACATGTCCACTACCTTTTTTACAATGAAGACCAAATGTACAAAAATAGACTAGAATTTGAAGGGTGATAAAAAAAAATAAAAAAAAAAAAACAGCTTGTTGTGTCCCTCATATCATGTGTGTAGATAAATACTTTAACAATGAATAGCTGATGCTAAATTGTATTTTATTTTTACTTTTTTAACCTACCTAGGTTTGTGGGACCAAGAGTGAAACATTCAAATTAAAAATCATTGCAAAATTCTCGTAATAAAAAAAACGCATTTTAGTTCGGGTCAATTTGACCCGGAGAAGATTTTCTTTTTCCCGAAAATACTAGTTAATGTTATCGCTTTGGACTGAAACTTAGTGACTTTGTTCCCAAACGGTATAACTAAATCTCAGTGTTTTTTTGAAAATTTTCTTATTTTTTTGTGGGAGTATTGTTACCTTGTTACACTTGTGGTGTTCCCGGTCAAAAATGACCGGCCTATAAAAAATAGCTTATAAGTCACTCATTATACCATATTTTCACCCAATCTTGGATTCAATCTTTTTGTCAACTTGTTCTCTTTCAATTAGGACTGGTTTTATATTTCTGTTTGAATCTGATTAATCGTGGGCCTCATTTGTCTGAGAGTAGGCATCTCATTTTTTGAGTAAAAAACAAATAATTTATGAGTATATTTGGAAATATGAAAAAAAAATATGAAAAAAATGGCTACGGTTTATCACACTAGTCTACTCTAATGTTTCACCAGGAATTTTGTTTTGAAACTTTTGTTTTGTGAAAAAATATGGCACATAGTCACACTTGTGGTGTTCCCGGTCAAAAATGACCGGCCTATAAAAAATAGCTTATAAGTCACTCATTATACCATATTTTCACCCAATCTTGGATTCAATCTTTTTGTCAACTTGTTCTCTTTCAATTAGGACTGGTTTTATATTTCTGTTTGAATCTGATTAATCGTGGGCCTCATTTGTCTGAGAGTAGGCATCTCATTTTTTGAGTAAAAAACAAATAATTTATGAGTAAATTTGGAAATATGAAAAAAAAATATGAAAAAAATGGCTACTGTTAATCACACTAGTCTACTCTAATGTTTCACCAGGAATTTTGTTTTAAAACTTTTGTTTTGTAAAAAATATGGCACATAGTCACACTTGTGGTGTTCCCGGTCAAAAATGACCGGCCTATAAAAAATAGCTTATAAATCACTCATAATACCATATTTTCACCCAATCTTGGATTCAATCTTTTTGTCAACTTGTTCTCTTTCAATTAGGACTGGTTTTATATTTCTGTTTGCATCTGATTAATCGTGGGCCTCATTTATCTGAGAGTAGGCATGGTCAAAAATGGTCACAATGGCCGACCATTGAAAGTGAATGGGAGAGACTGAAAATAACAGAACAATTTAGTTTTCAGGAGCATGTTCATTATTTTCATGTACACATATGAGCATGTGTGCTTGCAAACATTGAGCCCTTGGACCTGTGCATGTATCGATACATTTATACACACGCTACCCAGACACACACACGTTAAAACACACAAACTTGTTTGAGTATTACACACATTCTTTTCCACAGAGAGAAATTTGATCCTACCCTAACCTGCATCTAATATACATTTATCCATCTGACATTACCACACACACACACACACACACACACACACAAACTGGCCGTTACTGCAGTGACCTGGCTTCAGCTCTGCACATGATGTTATTCATCAGATTTTTGACTCAGAAACTAGTGAGGAGGAGGACATGCAGGATGCATCTTGCAGTGAAGATGTTTCTGAAGAGGAAGGCCTTCAGAAGAAAACCTGCCTTGCCTCATAGGTGGGGATGAAGGCCAGGAGAAAGTTCCATCTTTTGACCAGAATGAAACGGTAACCTCAGCTGGGCCCTCATCACTGGAAGACTGCTCCTCATCAGTTGTTTCAAGCTCCGTAGCCGATTCAGTGGTGCCTTCCTCTTCAGAAACATCTTCACTGCAAGATGCATCCTGAATTTTCTCCTCCTCACTAGTTTCTGAGTCAAAAATCTGATCACGGCCTGTGTGTGTGTGTGTGTGTGTGTGTGTGTGTGTGTGTGTGTGTGTGTGTGTGTGGTAATGTCAGATGGATAAATGTATATTAGATGCAGGTTAGGGTAGGATCAAATTTCTCTCTGTGGAAAAGAATGTGTGTAATATTTTTAAAAGTTTGTGTTTTTTAACATGTGTGTGTCTGGGTAGCGTGTGTATAAATGTATCGATACATGCACAGGTCCAAGGGCTCGATGTTTGCAAGCACACATGCTCATATATGTACATGAAAATAATGAACATGCTCCTGAAAACTAAATTGTTCTGTTATTTTCAGTCTCTCCCATTCACTTTCAATGGTCGGCCATTGTGACCATTTTTGACCATGCCTACTCTCAGATGAATGAGGCCCACGATTAATCAGATGCAAACAGAAATATAAAACCAGTCCTAATTGAAAGAGAACAAGTTGCCAAAAAGATTGAATCCAAGATTGGGTGAAAATATGGTATAATGAGTGACTTATAAGCTATTTTTTATAGGCCGGTCATTTTTTACCGGGAACACCACAAGTGTGACTATGTGCCATATTTTTTACAAAACAAAAGTTTCAAAACAAAATTCCTGGTGAAACATTAGAGTAGACAAGTGTGATCAACAGTAGCCATTTTTTTCATTTTTTTTTTTTTCATATTTCCAAATTTACTCATAAATTATTTGTTTTTTACTCAAAAAATGAGATGCCTACTCTCAGACAAATGAGGCCCACGATTAATCAGATGCAAACAGAAATATAAAACCAGTCCTAATTGAAAGAGAACAAGTTGACAAAAAGATTGAATCAAAGATTGGGTGAAAATATGGTATAATGAGTGACTTATAAGCTATTTTTTATAGGCCGGTCATTTTTGACCGGGAACACCACAAGTGTGACTATGTGCCATATTTTTTACAAAACAAAAGTTTCAAAACAAAATTCCTGGTGAAAATGTTAAGTTGACTAGTGTGATCAACAATACCAATTTTCTTCAGATTTTATTTAATATTTCCAAAATTATTCAAAAATTTTAAAAAAATTACTCAAAAAATGAAATGCCTACTCTCAAATAAATGAGGCCTATGATTATTCAGATGCAAATCAAAATATAAAACCAGTCCTAATTGAAAGAGAACATGTTGACAAAAAGATTGAATCCAAGATTGGGTGAAAATATGGTATAATGAGTGATTTATAAGGTTTTTTTTATGGCC